TTCTTTTTATGTTTTTATTAAAAATAATAATTTAAATAATACTTCTAATCATAATAATAATTTAAATTATTATTCAAATAGTTTTGAAATTGATTTTTTAAAATATTTAATGTATTTTAGTTTAATTATATATGGAAATATTTATTCAATTTTAAATTGTAAACCTAAAAGAACACCTGATGATATGTCTTTACAAAAAATTGAATATTCTGAAAATGAAAAATGGTTTCAAAAAACTTCATTTATTTTTTTATCTGTTTTTTATGCTTTATCTTCTACTTTATATAGATATGAACATTTAAAAATATATTCTGCTTTAATTACTATATTTGGTATTATTGGTATTATTATTTATTTATTTAAAATTAAAAATATTAATGAAATATTTGGAATTGATCAACAAATTAGACAAAATTTAATTGATGAATTTTTAAATACTAAAAAAATATTATTTAATTATTGTTTAATTTTTACAATTTTATCATTTTTATTATGTTTTTTATTTGGAATTTATAAACCATTAAATAATTATATTTCTATAATTGTACATTTATGTATTTCATTAACTATATATAATTATTTTATTTTTAATTTTTATAATTTTTATTATCAAAAAGATATTTTAGATTCAAGAAGAAACAAATTAAAAATTTACTTTTTCCTAATTCCATTATTTTATTATGAAAAGAGAATATTAAGAAATATTCCACTAATAATAGTAATAATAATAATGAAATTAAAGAAGAAATTTTACATGAAAAAACTGAATAAATTTATAAATTATTTAAATTTAAATCAAAATAAATTCCATAATGATCAGATGCAGGCTTACCAAATAAAGGATCTTGCAAATTTAAATTTTCAGTTCCAAATAATTTTAAATCTTTAAATAATAATTTATCATTTACATTTTTAGGTATTTTATAATAAATTCTATCAAATCTTTTTCTAAAATTTTCATCTCCAATTAATTTATTAAATTTACCATCAAAAGTAAATTCCAAAGATGGTAATTCATTATTTTCATTATTTTTAAATAATTTTAAATATAAATCATTAAATCCATTTGGAAAATATTCATTTTCATTTACAATATTTAAATCACCAAATATAAAATTAAAATTTTGATTATTTTCAAAATAATTTTCAATAAATTTTAATTGTAATTTTCTATTTTCAATTTCTTCATTTAAATTTCCAGCCTTTAAATGACATAATAATAAATTAATATTAATATTTTCTAATTCATTAATTTTTAATTCAATTTCCATTTTAATAGCACTTCTCCAATAAGATGGAAAATTAAATTTTGAAATTTCAATTTTAATATTTTCATTTTTTTTAAATAAAAATAAATTTCCAAATAAATGATTAGATCTAGAAGATTTTTCAAATTCATTTAAATCAATTTGTGAAATTTCATAATTATTTTGAATCCATGATTTTTCCAAGGCTAATTTTAAAAATTGTGGATTTGCTTCATTTAAACCAATTATATCTGCATTTAAATTTGGTAATATATTATCTAATTGATAATTAAATCTTTTTATATTATTTGGTCCATCTATACCTCCATATAATTCACTATTAAAATGATCAAATAAAACATTATATAATGCTATACGAAGTGGTGGTATTGTTATTGATTGTGATGATTGTGATTGTGATTGTGATGATAAAGAATTTATATTGGATAAACATGTTGATGGTGGTGAGGAAGCAGATTTTAAACAAGCCTTTGAAAGTGACCAAGTTCCATTCCGAAATGAAAACATTTTTTTATTTAAAATTGAATAAAAGACTGTGTTAGTTGTTGTATTTGATGATTATGATGTAAATTCTTGTATTTAATTATTGATTGGAATATGAAGAGTACTATTATTTAATTATTATTATTATTCAGTG